GTAGTATGGAGGTTCCTCAAAAGACTCCACATAGAGCTCCCCTATGACCCAGCAATCCCACTTTTGGGCATTTACTCGAATGATCACAAACAAGACCATACTAAAGCTACCAGCACAACTATGTTTATTGTAGCATTGCTTACTATAGCTAAGATATGGAACCAACCCAGTAGATGAATGGATCAAGAGAATGTGGTATATACACACAATGGAATTCTATGCCTCTATCAGAAAGAATAACATTGCCCCATTTGTTAGGAAATGGAAAGACTTGGAAAAAATAGTATCTTTACTATAAATTCACATGCCTTTTAGTATTCAGTCACTGGCTTATTGGAGGATGAGTCCCTTCAATTGAATGTGATGTTGATGAAGAGAATGAGCTCCCTCCTTTAGATATTTTTTTCTTCCCCAAGAGCTGGATGCCAAATTGAATTGTTTATGTACCTGCTCATTTCCCAGATGGATATCTACCTGGTTCCGTACTTCATGGCCTACATAGAAGTTGCTCCAAGAGATGGAAAACAAAGGTCTGAGATAGATTCTGGATACAAAGGGATAAGGAAAGTCTCCTTAAGGGTTTTGCTCTTGTGTGTGGTGAGGTATACTGGGACTTGAACTCAGAGCCTGGACACTGTACCTTAGTTTTATTGCTCAAATCTGGTACTCTATCACTTGAACCAATTCTCCATTTTCAGCTTATTAGTGATTAATTTGAGATAAAAGCCTCTGGACTTATTTAGCTAGGCTGACATTGAACTATGATCCTCAAATCTCAGCTTCATGAGTAGCTAGGATTACAGGGGGGTGCAGGGCACATGGGCAGCAAAGATGGCGCTGAGAGAGATTAGAGTGGGCTGAGCCCAATGGAAGTTTAGGTGCATGAAAGGGTGTGACCTTGACAGTGATTGGTTCCTCTTCCTCCCTTGCCATGCCACCTGCCCTTTTTGGCTTTAAAAAGGGCTGCTCCGTTAATAAGTGAGTTTTCTTCCTGCTTGATTTAGCTCCCCGCTGTGTCCTATTGTCTCCCAGGCTGAGGGTGGCTGGGATAGGGGTGAGCGCTGCTGCACTTACCTTTCCTTGACCCCTGACCCTGTCTGTCTTTTGTGGGACAGGTGAAGACCCAAGGGGGGGAAGGGAGTTAAATTTTTGTCTTTAAGAGATACAGAAAGAAGGGCATGTGAGCCAATTTTGGGAACTGTCAAAGATGGAAAGGCAAAGAAGAGCAAAGACTAAGTGAGGTACAAGATGGGCATGGAAAGGTAGCTAAAACCAGATTGTATAGGCTTTAAGTGTTAGAGCAAAGTATTTACATTGAGTTCATACATAAGGAATGGGCAGGGAAGGGAGAGGCAACACGCATGTGTATGCTGAAGAAGATACAGAGATTATGCCTTTGACACAAGTCTTCCCACCTATTTTAATGGCTAAAATTTGAAAAATTAACAGTACTAAATGCTGACAAGGACTTGGAGCAACTGCATTTCTCAGACATTGCTAGTGAGAACCCAAAATGGACTGGCCACTTTGGGAAACGGTTTGGCATGTTCTTTTTTTTTTTACGTGCTAATTTGACTTTAATATATTATCTATGTACTAACAGCCACAAAAGTTGTACTAGTTTTCTTTTTTATTGTCGAGGTGATTTACAGAGGGGTTACAGTTACATAAGTAAGGTAACAAATACATTTTCGTCAAACTTGTTACCCTTTCCCTCATTTTTCTTCTACTTTCCCTCCTCAACCTGTTCTTTTTATTAGCATACATCAGTGTCCAAGGAAAGTTTCATGTGACATTTCCTCATATGTAAATCATATATCCCAATCAACCTACTCCCTCTTTTACTCTTCCCCATCCCAGTTTGACATGTTCTTTCTTTCTTTTTTTTTTTTTTTTTGATTGGTTGTGGGGCTTGAACTCTGGGCCTGGGCACTGTCCCTCAGCTCTTCAGCTCAAGGTTAGCTCTCTACCACTTGAGCCACAGTGCTACTTCTGGCTTTTCTGATTGTTTATTGGAGATTAGAGTCTCATGGACTTTCCTACCCAGGCTGGCTTTGAACTGCGATCCTCAGATCTCAGCCTCCTGAGTAGCTAGGATTACAGGTATGAGCCACCTGCACCCAGCTGACATGTTCTTATAAGTTAAACATACCAATTGTATAGCTCAACAATCCTACTGCTGTTCGGTGTACAGAAAGGTTACACAAAAACCTATGTTGTTGTCCCTCAGAAACTATTTACATAATATTCTCAATAAGACAAAACTAGTCAGGTGCCAGTGGCTCAGGCAGGCTTATGTTCCTAGCCACTGAGGAGGCTGAGATTTGGGGATCACAGTTAGAAGTCAGCCTATGCAGACAACTGTGAAACACTGTTATCTCCAATTATCCAGCAAAATACCCAGAACTGGAGATATGGCTGAAGTAGAATGCCATCTGTGAGTAAAATGCCGAGTATGTTTAAACCCCAGTATCAGAAAAAGAAATGACAAAACTGTCCAGGTATATTGGCACACATCTATACGGTGCTTCTTACATCTTTGGAGAATTATGCTGTGGATCCTGTTTGTTATTTTAAGGCCTATTTTATTGTAGTTGCAGTGGTAGAAAACTGTTAAAACTGTAAAATTCTTGTTACTCCTTTTCAGGTTTGGCATTTTATATTTTGGAACGGTTGTTTTATGTTTCTTTTAATCTTTTCTGGGACAGAATACCTCAGTGCTTTCCCCTGGGTTTTCCTAAATGTTTTTTTTTTTTAATTTCCAACATATAGCATTAAAGCAACCACTTCTCAAGTCCTACAGTATCTGGTAAGTGCCAGATATCACACAAGAAAAAAAATAGCCTTTGGAGGTGCCAAATTAAAACCCCCATTTCTTATGTGATTCCAGGTACAATACAGAATCCTACTCAAGTCTCCATCTGCTACTTTGTCAAATGGGAATATCATGCATACAGATCACTGGATGCTGGTGGCTCACACCTATTATCCTATCTACTCAAAAGACTGACATGTGAGGATTGGGGTTCAAAGCCAGTCTGGACAGGAAAGTCCATGAAACTCTTATCTCCAATTAACCACCAAAAAGGCAGTAGTGGTGCTATGGCTCAAGTGGTAGCACTGGTTTTGAGCAAAGACTCTTAGGACAACTCCCAGGACTGGAGTTCAAGCCCCAGGGTTCTCTCTCGCACTCTCTCTCTCTCTCTCTCTCTCTCTCTCTCTCACACACACACACACACACACGAGAGAGAGAGAGAGAGAGAGAGAGAGAGAGAGAGAGAGAGACAGAGAGAGAGACAGAGAGAGAGAGACAGAGAGGGAGGGAGAGAGGGAGGGAGAG